AGTGAATGACTGAGCAGGAGTGATAGAGACAAATTTTTACAAAAGAAGAAGAAGAAGAAGAAGTAAATAAAAGATTCACAATCTGCAATTATTAAATCCCCTGAACATCCACTCTTTTCCTGCAAGATTGCAGGAATCTCATAAAAGGCAAAGCCCGACCTGATGGGACATAAATCTATTTATAGTCCTTATTGATCCAGCTGAGCATATGTTTTGCTGCAGACATGTTAATGTGTTTGATCTCAGACCTTGCTGAAAGTGTTAGATAATATATGCACCCTGTTACCTTTCTAAAAGAAAGCTTTACAGTTCTGAATTCCAAAACATACCTGGCCCCTAGGGCTTCAGGTAAGGCATTAAGGACCTGTAGTTTAAGTCATAGTCAGTGGGTAAACTAGGCAGCCTGGGCTCCGTCTCTGCTTCATCTGCTGTCCCAACACAGGCTGGGCAGCCCTGCCTGGTCAGCAGGGGAAGCCCAGGGCACAGCCAGTGAGGGCGAGCGGATCCAGCAGGCAGTGCAACCCTATCAGGGGAGAACCAAGCTTTATCCAACTGTTGAAACGCCCAGTATATTAAAAGATAGTAAAGACCCTACAACAGGACACAAAACTTGTACTTAAAAATGTCTGCACTGAAACTGAAATGGACTCAGATACAAAGAACAGACTGTTGGTGGTTGCCAAGGGGAAGGTGGGTTGGGGGACTGGGTGAAAAAGGTGAAGGGATTAAGGAGCACAGATTGGAAGTTAGATGCAATGTCATAGGGGCGTACAGTACAGCAGAGGGAATACAGTCAGTAACACTGTAATGACCATGTATGGTGCCAGGTCGGTCCTGGAAACATTGGCGGTATCACTTTGTAAAGTATGATTTTCTAACCACTACACTGTACACCTGAAACTAATACAAAATAATACTGAATGTAAACTGTAATTTAAATTTTTTAAATGTTTGCATTGAGTAAATTTAGCCTTTAAAATACTGACAACAAATTATCATCATAATTACATGACTGTGGCTATCGAATGGAACGCACCATTTAATCTGATGGAAATATTCACTCCCGGTGCCCTGAAAGCTGTGTGTCCTCCTAACGGGCAGCAGTTTACAGTGGAAGGTAAACGTCTTATTCCCTCTGTCCTCTGATGCCTCCGTGACCACCGGTGTAACCTCAGAGGCCATGAAGTCAAAGGGCTGCATTTGAAGACCTTGGGGGATGTGAGGCCCGGCCCTGGTCCTTCTGGAGGACCCCCTGAGAGGCCCCAGGAAAGAGATGGGGGTGGGGGGGCAGAAAAGAGGAGGGACCCTGGCTCCCTGACGAGAACTGACAGCCGGCAGGATGGCTGTTCCGCTCGTGTGTAATCAAGAACTGTCTGTATGCAATAAGGCAGAAGGAGAAAGCTCTCAAACTGTCACCACACTGATGTTCTTCATCGAAGGTTCGGCTAATAAGTTCAGGTGGAGAATGAAGACGCCAGCACATTAGGACGGGCTAAGTTTAGCATCAAAAATCTGTGGGAGTGATGCTGACAAGGGCTGCTGAAGAGACGTCTGCTTAATTAAAATGAATTCTTTTAACCCTGACGGCTCGCCTTCCCTGCTGCTGCATGTGAACATCCTACAGCTAATTTATCTCATGCAGTGTATTAACATAGTTATCTCCGTGTTTATGAAGATAATAAAGAGGCATCTGTAGTGGAAAAATAAAACAAACCTCCTTAAATCCCACAGTAAGGGAACAGGTGAATACAACCCAGCCTATCCACCCCGTGGAAGAACGTGCAGCTGTTAAAAACCGAGCACAGAACTAAAGTGATGGTGTGATGTTTGGGGGAAATCCACAGACTAAATATGTTCCATGTGATGATGGCTGCAGATATCTTTCTCTCTTTCTTTCTCTCTCATTCTTTCTTTCTTTCTCTCTCTCTTTCTTCCCCCCCCCCTCTTTTAACAATCAAACATATGGGCAAGAAAAATAACTCAACAATCTAATTTTCCAGGTGGTGAGGTCTATAAGTGAATTTCCCCTTTATTTCAAAAACGTTGTTTGGACAACCAAAAGCACAAGAAGAAAAACAATGTGTGTGTCTCTTAGTTCTTCAGGGCTGGTCATCAAACTTCAAGTTCGTTAAGTGTTGGTTGGGTATTTTTTTGTGGGGGGTCCTTATGGGTTTCTATTATTATGGCTGCTGTTTTGTTTGTGTTATTTTTGTTTAACAATTGCACAGGGGCTTTCGATGATAAAGCTGGAGGACCCCTGAGCTAGTCTGGCTCCAAGTGACAGTCCACGTGTGAATCAGAAATAAGGGCTGAGCAGGGAGAGGTGGAACTGGCTGAGGAAATTTGGCTTCAAGCTCTCCTCTGAGTCAGCCCCTGCTGAGTGCCCACGTGTCTTTCATTTAGTACCAAATGAGCCCCTCGGACCCCCAAGGAAAAATCACCGGACCTGGCTTTTATGGCCCTGGGATTTATGTTATTGCTAACAGTTGTTTTACATGCTGAGCACATCCTAAATTATTTGTGTATTACCCATATTAAAAGCATCCTTTGAAAGCTGTGGGCATATCTCAGAGACACTGCCCGGCAGTTCCAGACCACCCCAATAAAGTGAGTGTCACAACAAAGCAAGCGGTAATCTTTTTGCTGGTGGAGGCTCTTGCCTTCCATTCATAAGGAAAGCAACATCTGTGAAGGGCACTAAAACAAGGTGATGGGATGATGTGAAGTGGAAATCCACAGACTAACTATGTTCCATGTGATGATGGCTACAAATATCTTTCTTTCTTTCCTTCTTTCCTTCTTTCTTTCTTTCTTTCTTTCTTTCTTTCTTTCTTTCTTTCTTTCTTTCTTTCTTTCTTTCTTTCTTTCTTTCTTTCTTTCTTTTTCTTTCTTCTCTCTCTCTCTCTCTCTTTCTTTCCCTCCCTCCCTCCCTCCCTCCCTCCTTTCCTTCCTTCCTCCCTTCCTTCCTTCCTTTTTCTTTCTTTTCTTTCTTTCTTCCTTTCTCCTTCTCCTCCTCCCTCTTCTTTTTTAACAATCAAACACATGGGCAAGAAAAATAATTCCTACTTAGTACATCCTACTGAGGCTTCTGTGGGCCTCAGCTTCTCTCAAGTTCCTGACCAGCGCAGTGACGTGGGCCTTCCCAGGGTCGGGGTGAGGGAGTGGATTCGCATTTCTTTCAGCATATGGGGACAAGAGCGGGGAGGAGCCGGGACAATGAGGGCTCAGTTAACAAAGGGAGGGAAGACAATGGGAAAATTTTAAACGACCATTGAGCCTAGCCGAGGTATAATGGAATAGCATGGGCTCTGATTCTTTGCTGACCTAGCCCACTTATTCTATACTTTGGATTTTAAATGAGTCCCTGAGGCACGCACCCAGTGGTCTTGAGGCTTCAATTCCTCCTCCCAAACCGCAGGAACTAGAATTTTAGCCTCCCTGTGCCATGGTCCTGGAAGCCACCATGTATTCGTCAGAATCTGGAAAACCTAAGCTGGTCTTCTGCTCACAGCTATTCAGGGGCCGCGGGACTTCTGCTCTGTGGGGACGTTGGCAATGTTGACCCACAGCACTCACGAGGTGGGAAAGGGGCAGATGGGAGTTTCCTAGGCTGATTGGAAGACCACATGGGAAAGCAAAGCACCAACTACCTGTCAGCCCTGAAAGACAGCTAGAAAACGGGGTCTGCCACAGGGGCGCTGCTACCTCTGATTAACAAGGCTTGAGTGAGTGATGGTTACAATGCGAGATGCCAGAAAACCCACTTGTGGTCGCTTGAGTAACAGAACTCCAGGTTAGTAGAAATAAGCTTACTCAAAATGGCTGCATAACCAGAGTTACATTAGTTCTGGAACTGAACATACTTCAGAAAACTGTTCATTTGGCGTTCACTAACCATGGATACCCTAATATTTTGTGAAGGAACAGGAGGAAAGATTTCTTCCCCGAAGTCAGTATTAGCTGTCAACTCAGACCCTGACTCCTTTTGGGAGCAAAAGATGTCCCTCACCTGCTAGTCGCAAAGGCTGTAGTCATGTCTCCATGCCCACCCTCCACTCCATCCCCTGCCCCCACCCTCACCGTGCCAATCTCCTGCTGGAAGATCAAGTCACTCCTCTGCTTAAAGTCTTCTGGTGGCTTCCATCACTCATAACTGAAAATCCAAGCTGCTGCCTGCTTCCCATGTGACCCTCTCCTTTCCTTCCCTGCCCCCAGCCACTCCAGTCTTCTTTCTGTGGCGAAAAATACGCCAGCTCCCCCACCCCATCCCAACCTTCGGGCTGGCCCTCCCCGCTTCCTCAGCCTGCAGCACACTCCCAGCCACTCACTGGCTGGCTGCTGCTCACGGTTTCGCTGGGTCCCCTATTCCATCCTGCTCGTTTTTTTCATCGCTTTTATTACTCTCATGAATTGTTTACATCTCCCCACAACAAACATCGAGAAGGATTTTGTCTGCCTAGTTCAGTGTGTATCTCTAGTACCTAGAGCAGCGTCTGGTACATAGAAAGTCCTCACAAACTAACTATATGTGGAGTCAAACGAATGGATGGTTTGTGTGTAAATATGACTCCAATGACACCATCACTAAGAGATGTAGTTGGAGTTGACGTTCAGCTTGGGGGGGATGGGCAGGGCTGACCTGTTGCCCTCTCCCTCCTCAGCGGCCCCTGTTTGCCAGAGTCTGGGCCACAGCTAGGGGTGCAGTAAGAAAGAATGAGACAGAAAAATAAGAGCCAACTCACAGAGATAAAACACAAGGCAATTCCATCTGACCTTCAAATGGGCCACAAGGAAGAAATTAGGAATGTAGTTTTTAATACTGTTGTTTCTTTAAATTCTGTGTTACCCAGGAAAGCCAAAGACCTTTGGTCAGTTTCTTACAAGTGGAAACAAAGTAAGTGGAGAGGAAACACCTGCAGCCAGTTGCTTGCAGAGCAGCCTTGACTTTTGCTGGGGGGGGGGGGGGGATGCTGGGGGGGATGCTGTAGGGGTGCACGTACCTGTCATGAGGAACAGGAGGCCGGCCACGTGTTGCGTCAGGCTTTCCTCCCAGAAGAAACTGACCATGGCCACAATGCAGCCACAGAGCAGCACAGCCACCGCCATGCCCAGGAAGCCGGCAGTGATTCTTCTCAAATCTAGTCTCGAAACACAAAGAGACATCCAAGATAATTAGCAGAAGAAGGAAAATCATGGGATGCCAGAGCACAAAGAGCTTTGTATATGTTATGAAAATGGATACATTCCATGGACAGTCTCAGGGCCTACAAGGTCGAGGTGACGGTCCTGCTATCTTTACCTCTTTGTTTTCTTATCCGTCCCCCTCCTTTTTTTTGAACAGACAATTTTTATAATCATTAGTTAAATTTCTATGACACTACTTAAAATTTTCAACAGATCCCAAAGACAGGTCTGCAGCCCCTGCGCACCTGGATGCCCAGACGGGGGCACGCCCAGGTTGATGGGGGGGCGCTGCTCTGCTGAGGTGGAGGTGTCCAGGCAGCTGCCACCTCGTTACATGTTCACGTGGCTGCCGTCCATCTCAGGGCTGCTCCAGAGAAGGTGGTGTCTGGTCTTCCTCCTAGTCACCCATGGATAAACCATCCCTTCCCTTTAAGGAAATTGTTCATGTCCAATTTAGAGCATCTAAATTAAAGCAGAACATCGCTGCCTAAAGGAAGCATAGACACCACACAGCAAGGGGCCAGGAACAGTGATCATTTAAAGGGGCTGACTTTAACGGTAAGGGTAAAAGCAGTTTTAAGACATCCACATTCTGAGCAAGGGAAACGTAATAATAGTTCAGCCACTATTTTCTGACAACGTCCTAAATTCCCTGTGGTTCAAGTTTTATTGTCTGTGACCATTCAAAGGTGTAAGGTTCAGATATAATCCACATGGGATTCGCATTAGCACCGGACCTGTTAAGCTTCTCTGGTAAACACGGTGCAAATCACCAAGTGTGATTTTCTTAGGAGGAGCCATGCATGAGACTAAAGGCATCTTTCCACGCAAACTTCAAAGAGGGTTGAGAGAGAACGCTCAGACTCTGTCTTGCTGGGCAACAACAGAGCACAACCTGCTACAGTGGAGATGAGATTCTTTGTCAGGATCCTGTGATTATTTTTCTGATCTAAAACCGATGACTATGTGGCTTTCCAGGGAGATGTGAAGAACCCCAAACATGCTCATAAAGAACTAAGACATAGAAAGGCTTAGATTAGTGTCTAACTCAGATCTGCTGAGAAAGGAACGTTAAGATCAGCCAGCAAGAAAGAACTTTCAGGAAGTCATGCTATTCAGAAATAAACCACATTTTAGCCAATGACTTTCCCAGTCCTAAATTTGCCGATCATAATATTTACATATTAGACCACTGCAATAGAGCTTCTGTGTACGCATTTGAGAGTCAAAACAGAGCCTTTTGATCCACCAGAGAGACTTATTTAGAAAATGAGACCTTGCTTGGTTTTCTGCAGTGGTTTTGGTCACCAAACAAGATCATCGAAGTCGTTGCTGCTTATTTCAATGCAAAATGGCAATGTCCACCTCTGATCTGGGTAAACACTGAAAAGAGTTCAATCTAGTTTTTGCTTTCCTGAGTTATCCATCACAAGGCAGCATAAATCAACGGTTTTCCAGTAAGTATCAGCCCTCTTCAGCTTCACATTGCGTGATCCTCCTAGAGTTTCACATTTCCCTCACAGTGAGAAAGGGTAACATCTGCCTTTGAAATGTAGAGGTAACAGACACCCTTGGAGAAAATGATGGCATACACCCATAAGACTATTTTTGCAGAAATACCAAGGTCTGAGATAGACATGATAGCTAAAATGAATATTGCATTAAAAAAAACAGGAGTACCTGAGGTATATAATCTTAGTTTGCTAAGACAAGTGGCAGAGCCCATCCTTAGACCTGCAGGTCCTTGCACCTGGTGACTTGGTAAAGAAAAGGCTCAGGAAGCCACTTGTGTACAGATGCCACCAGGGCAGACACACACGTCTCACTGTCTCACAAAGCCCCGTGCCTGATTTTCACACGTTTGATGCATGGAAGAGCTGTGGCCACAGAACAGTGTAAGGACTCCTTGAGTCTCCGTCCAAGTCATCGAATTGGGCTCTGAGCCCCTGTATGGTCAACACAGTATCTTTCAGGCCGAACCTGTGAAGGCAGGTGGGTATACTTTTTGTTCGGAAAGACACCATTTCCTCTCCGTCCCGTTCCCAGAAATACTCACGGAGCAGGTGCCATTCATCTTGCTGTATTGTCTTGGTTAAATTGAAAGGAATGTTTCGTAAGCGGATTGGCTGAGAGAAGTGGTACTTGATAGCTGTGCATCGTTGCGCAATACCTGGAAGAAAATAAGAAATACAATTTACTAGTCTGCATTTGTAATAGAATTCTGGACACCTGAGGCCGAATAATGTATTGTAAACTGGATGGACTGGGGGAGGGGATAGGAATCTCTTGATTATTCACATTAATAGAGGCCAGCCAGAGCAGCAAAAACCTAAACCACAAAATAACTTTTTAAAGTCACATTTCATTTTTGAATGTATTAAATTTGATAAGGATCTAAACTCTCCTAATTGTGCTACAACACTGAGTTTGTATTAACTAAATGCAAAATTCCTCAAGGAGAAATGGCCTAGAAGTATACAGATGGTTGGGAGAAATCAGCCTGAAATATTGTTAACACAGATAAATTACACGTGTCTGAATCTGATCCAATCTCTAACTCTCAAATGGGTTGCATCGGAAAGTTCATTAGGAAGTATGTTTTCTGGAAACCAGAAGACATTTTTCCAGAAAGACAACCTTCTACTTGGTAGTTTAGGTGGTGATTAAGTCTCCACACAACCCACAAGAGCCTGTTTAACCCCAGGCTAGCTGATGTAATTCCTCAGTACAAGCTTCTCTGACCTGAGTTCTGGGTCTTGAGAGAAAGGGTGTTATTGAAAAATGCCCTCCCTTTCCTGGTTGCAAATTTTCAAATGGGCATGTGTATGCATTGCTTTATTTAATAACTTCTCCTACCCTCCCTCCCAACCTATACTTTTATTGCATAAATTAATACCAGCCTATTTCCCCTCTAAAGTCTTCTGAATCCCATAAAAGTATCTACTCTCCCTTCAAATTAAAATACAACGGAACATACTTCTTTCATTGTAAATCATCTTGATTAGTTGTTTGGATAAATGCAATTTTATTAGATTAATTTTGAAGAGATGTGAGTGGCTATTAATCCTTCAATCCTGGCAGCTGTTAAAAACACTCTTATACCCCAGTTGGTGTGTCTCAGTGGACTGAGCACCAGCCTGTGAATCAAAGGGTCACTGGTTTGATTCCCAGTCAGGGCACATGCCTGGGTTGCAGCCAGGTTCCCAGTTGGGGTACAAAGGGAAACCACACATTGCTGTTTCTCTCCCTTTTTTCTCCCTCCCTTCCCCTCTCTCTAAAAATAAATAAAATTTTTAAAAATCCTTATAGATGCAAATAATCCCTACTCAGTGACATTTCAGTAAGTATAATATTTAATGTTGGACATGGGGTGTGGACTAGGGAGAAATTGTTCTCCCAGACTCAAAGGGCTGGCCCTGGAATAACCCCGGTACTAGGGAAATGTGTGGGCCCCTTTTACATCACTGCAAATATCCTCAGGGCCCATTTCCTCCTCGGCCCCTTGCTGGGAGCAGGCACAAACCCAGTGGGCAGGAAGGGTAGCAGAAAGGAGATAGGCAGCCTACCCTGTGCTCTCCCCCTTTCCCAGGGTAGCCTGGCTGGTGCCAGCAATGAGGTAAGCAGTACACATATCACCACATTGCCTTTCCTTCCCCACCAGGCTCCAAGGCTAAATTTAAACTTCCAGGATCCCTGAAATGAGAAGAGAGAGGAAGTGGGGAGAGTGATAAGGTCTTCCCTGCACAGTAGTAACAAGCTGTCCTCAAAGATCTCTAAGATGGGGAGACTGGTGGTGAGCCCAGAGCTCCTCAGCTGAGTCTGCAAGAAAATGTGCTCCAACCCAGGTGCTCCACTCCCTTGGAGATGATTAGAGACCTCAGGCAGAATTAGAAGCGAAAGTGGGAGTGAAGGACGGAGAAGCAGCAGTGTCAGAGGCCTGCCATTCGCCGTTTGATCTCCTTGTTCTCAAACACTCGTTCCCCTGTCACAGCAGAAGGTCTAACAGATTCGAAGAGGAAAGTATATTATTAAGGTTGGGCTTCCTACATCATACACAGACGACTGACACAATGCAACTTGATACGAACCACACAGGAAAAGACCAGTAGTTTCTTGATGGCTTACCAAAGCCAAATTAGGTCCTTTGGATAAGAAGATGAGTGCACGCATGCACGTGGATGGTGGTAAAGACAGGAGGTCCATGCAATGTTAGAGCGAAGAGTGATACTGTGGAAATCCACAAGGAGGCATTAGATTCAAATTTTTTTCAAAGCCATGCTTGCAAACTTTGAAATTAACTGGCTTTCAGGGTTTAGAGAGCAATGAATCTGGCTGGCTCTCTGAAAAGGAACGAAAAGCATGATCTCATAGCACCAGATGGCATCACACAATGGGGGGAAGAAACATGCAGAGGGCTGAAAGGAACAAGTTGTGGTCTATATATAGTGATTAATGAGCTTCTTAAAGGGCCAAGTACAGCCACTTAAATGATGATATAAACCGTAGAAAAGATCTATTAATATGCTGCATGGGGTTACAAACAGGGTTTTTGGGCTGGTGAATTTCTGCTGTTGTTGGTAAAGAGATGAATCAAATTCCAAGCTTCATCATAGAAACCTTATTGTGGGTTAAATGAGGGGCAAATGTGAGAAACAGTAGAACATGCTGTAAAGTGTCATTAATGCTAATCAACAATGAGGCAGTATATGAGGAGGTCTGTCCGGAAAGTATCCGGCCACACACTGTGAAAACTAGATGCATTTATTGAAGAAGATACAAAACACACAGTACATAGGACAATGACGTCTCCGTCCCCTTCAAAGTGTGGCATCACCTTGGGACCTCACACAGTTCTCCCAGCATCTCTTCCACTGTTCAAAACACTCTGCAAAATCCTTTGTTGCGATCTTTATCAGCTGCCCTGTTGTATTTTCCTAAATCTCATCAGTGGTCAAAATCTCTTCCCTTTCAAAGCTGATTTTAGTTTTGGGAAAAGCCAGAAGTCTTGGGACACCAAATCTGGGCTGTAGGGAGGCTGAGTCACCTGGGTGACTTGATGTTCCACCAAAAAACTCTGCACGAGACATGCTGCATGAGCGGGCATGTTGTCATGATGAAGCTGCCAGTCACCAGTTGCCCATAGCTGCAGCCTTCTGAATTGTGCAAATAGTTTCCACAAAGGAATGTTCAAGTTTAACACAAAATCTGATGCCCTAGTCGCTTAGTCATTTTGAACATGACAGCCACACAGCACACATGCTCACTCAACAGTCCCCACCGACTAGTATAGGGAAGTTGCACTGTTCACACATGCGCATTCCAGTCCACTCCTTGGCTGCCAGGTCATATCAATGTTGCAAAAACCACTCTCATTATATTAACGATGGCTGGACTTTTTCTGCCCATACCCCATATGTGGTAGCAAAAGTCCTTGCAGTCAGACAGCCTTGGGTTTAAATCCCAGCTGTGCAACTTTTGGCAAATGACTTAGCCTCCCAGAGCCTTGGCTCCCTTGTCTGTAAAAGAAGGGGAATAATGGCAGATACCATATGGGGTTACTGTGCAGAATGAAGGACTTGGTATATAGGACGTGGCTCACTCTCAGCACTCAGTGAATGTCAGCATTCAATCCTGAGGCCTCTCTTGGTGCCTGCCCACATCCACTGTACAGAACCACTGCCACACTAGGAGTCCGTACCTGAAATGGGCATCACAGATGAACCCAGGCAGACACATGAAACAGCTGCCTGAGCAATGGCCCAACCAACGGCTCTGGTGTTGCCTCTCCATCCTCACCCCTGCAAGTTAGCTCACTGGCCTCCTTGCCACTGTTCCCTCCCCCCTCGGGCCCACCCTGCATGCCTCTGCTTCACAAATCCTTGGTCTGAGGCCTCTGGAGCCTCAAGTCGCCCATCTGTGAGGTGCAACGTGAACATCTTGAGGACTTTACTATATCCACCTGCCTTTTATAGTATCGTTAACTTAGTACGTTTCTCTGAATTGATTACTCTAAGTGGGAAATAGTTTTCTTGCCATTATGTAATTATGTATTTATTTAAAAATAAAGTGCCACAGAGTAAGTGTTACAGGATGGCTCATTAAACAGTTTAACGCTGTGCCGATGTGCCACTTCCACACTGCGGCAAACAGAAGATGAGAACGTCTCTGGTGGTCCCTGAGAGCAGTGAGCCCGGGCTCTCATCGTCCAGCTCTGTCTTGGCCCTTTCCAAGAACACACCACTGGCTTCCCCCCGAATCAAACAGGCTCTAGGTAGCTAGCGTCTATCCTTACCCTCCCCCTCACTTCTACTTTCCCGTGACTGGCCTTGGGGTGCCCATTTCTTCCTCTACCTACACCCCCACCTTAGAACAACCCCAAACCCACCAACCATCCAGGCCCACTGGTTTCATTCAAGAGGCCTTTCCCAAGCACAGCAGCCCGAGCCGCTCACTCCCTCCTCTGGCTTTCTTTTGATGTTCGAGGCTGAGCCACACAATCTGGCTCTTGATTACTCGGTCTTTGCCACTTCCTAATAGACCAAAAAGTGTGCCTCCCTATGCATTCCCCAAGTTCCTTAAGAGCTGAGACCGTGACCTTTTCCTAGGTTTGCGACAGTTAAGAGACAAGCCAACAACAGTTGGATGGCACTATAACTGAGGCTTCGGGCTCTCTAGCAAATGAAAGGGTCAGGGAACAGGCTGTACTGTTTCCTAAAACATTTCAGAGGCCCTTGGAATTCCATAACTGACCCGCGGGCAGAAAAGCCAAGGGCTCTTCCCCCAGCTCTGTCCACACACAGCCCAGTTTATAAAAGGAAAGATCAGTCTCGGGGTCACAGGGCAAAGTCGCTGCCGTGTTCCTGTCAGAGACATTTAATTCCAGAGGAATCAGGTGCTAAGCAGACAGAAGAAAATGTTTTCCTCATCACCTGCTTTCATGAATGCGAACAGCCCTCACTTCAACAAATCAACTAGTCCAGTCAGTCTAGCAGCTCAGTGCTGCCCTTGGGCAGCTCAGATGACCAAAATGAGTCCTGAAAGGGAAACCCCCTGAGGGCCAACCCATCATCGAGTCTCCAGAATTGAAAGTGGGGGCTACAAAATGAGAAAGTCTAGACTGGCCCCGCCCAGTAAGGAATACGGTGCAAGTCGCAAGTCTCACATACAATG